AAACTGCAAGTAGTGCTTAAGAGCTCACTGATGTGCCAGCTAAGCAGAGAACAGCAGAGCTCTCTGCAAGAATAAGATCACAAAAGACAAAGTTTAAGGTGTGGGGATGCTTCTGTTGGGACAGAGGGAAAACTGAGTGACAGACGGGGTCATTCCAAAAGCCAGACAACATCAATAAGGAAAGCAAGGCTGTGGGGACTGAAGCCAATGAGGAGTATGTGTCCTGGCTGGAGAGGCTGGCAGCTTCACAGCTTCAACCAGAGCACAGAGCCCACTGACGTGCCAGCCCAATCCACCAGAGCTGGGGACTGAAAAAAATAAATAAAAAAGAACAGAAATCTGAATTCTTATATGAAATCTACACATTTTTAAGTTTAAAAACTGACTTACAAATTTGTATGCTATGTCATAGTCAAATAAAACACACTGTGGGTTAAGTGGGGCCTGCAGGTGGGCCAGGATAAGAATCCTATTTCACAGAAGACAAGGCTGAGGAGGTGGGTCAGGGATAGGCTGTGAAAGGGGAAAAATGAAGTCATAAATGTGTTTTGCTTTAGTAGGTGATGAAGATGCTATCCTGATATTTTGCTGGATATTTTGCTACCTACATGTATGTCAGAACCTACTGTATACTTCAAATGTGTGTACCTTACTGTTTGTCAAATGTATCTTGATAAAGCTCTTTTTAAAAGTTAAAACAAATATCAAAAATCATCAAAAAACAATAAAATTAAAATGAATGTGTTTCCTAATTACAAAACCTACCCAGCACCACTCACCTTGTGTACCTGACTCAAGACGGCTCAGGGCACGGCCACCAGGCCACAGATTAAAGTCTTCTGCCAGCAGACACCTGAGACTGCTCTTTCCCAGAGCAACACGCAGTGGAAGGAATGAGGGCCTGGCCCTCGGTCTCTGAGTTTCTAGAGAACCATACAAAATAGGACTGTACGATGTATGGAGAATATGGAAGGTAGACGCAAGGAAAAAGTACTGTCAGATCTGACTGGTTTCCACATTCTGTTCTGTTTCTATGGAATTTGTTTGGCATTAGGTTCTTCTGCATAACTCACAAAATCTTTATTTTGGACCCATCATAGAAAGGGTAAGCCAGGATGTGAATAAAGAATGAGTTTTTCTCTAACGCCGAGGAGATTATTGTTAATCAGCTCACTCTCTAGGCTATTACAAATTCAGCAGTGCTATACCCATTTCAGAAAAAAAGAGGGTCCAGCACTGATTTGTGACAGTGCAATCTTCTGATGAGCCTATTTTCCTCTGTTTCATAAGCTTAATTAATTAATTAGGATATAAGTGTTCATTTGATTATATATACTACATATATGCTCTCTTGAGAAATATAGGCAAACAGAAGACAGAGAAAGCTTATAACTCATCTTTCCTATGAGAGGTATCTTCACAGATTTATCATCTCTTCTCTCAAGTGAGGTTAAATTCCCTAAGAGAATATATTATGCTTTATCTTACATACAATGGATTTTTTCCTCTTGCGTAAAAAGGCAATGGTAGATAATCAAAAGGAAGATTCAGAATTATATTAACCCTTGTACGCAGTTATGTTAGCGATGAAATCGTATCTAGTATAAATTCTCAGCACAATGGATACAGTTCTGCGTGACTCCCATTAATGTTATTAAGAGTGTGCTGGTAAATTCCACAAATCACATGACACATTTCCTTGGGTGGTAAGCCCTGGGGAAAGATAACAAACAGGAGGGAACTAGATAGGCCAAATGATAAGCAATAGGACGTATCAAAATTAAACTAAGGTTACTAGGGGGTGAGTACTGATCAAACATTGCACTTATAGGTGCAGAGCAGACTGGCTGAAAGCACAGGCTGTATAGACCCAGGCAGGTCTGTCTGACTCTGGATCCTGCACTTACTTAGTTTGCAAACTTGGAAAAGTCATTGATTTCTCTAAGTCACACCTCATGACAGAGAGTGAGTACATTTAGTGCTTGGTACCTAATAAACGTACAATAAAAGGTAGCTGATGTTATTACAGATTAATAAGATCATCTCATCCTACCAACCCATTTTACAGAAGAGTATGCATACTGAGATTAGAGGTTTGATGTTATTTGCCTAAATGTACACTAAATGTACAACTAATTAGAAACAACAAGGAATGAAATAGAAAACTATGAGCTTCATCCTCCTTTGTGTATTATTTTATAGATAATATATGTCTTCTTTTTTTAATTGAAATATTGTTGGGTTGGTTTCAGATGTACAACACAGTAGTTCAACAGTTACCCATGTTAGTAAATCCTCACCCTCTCTAGTGCAGTTACTATCAATGTAGGAAGATATTACAGAATCATTGAATATATTCTCAATGCTGTACTACCATCCTGCAACCAACTTACGTTGTGAATTATTGTGGCCCTTTATCCCCCTCAACCTCCTCCCTATCTGTCCCAACCCCTCCCCCTTGGTAACCACTAGTCCCTTCTCAGTGTCTATGAGTCTACTGCTGTTTTGCTCCTTCTGTTTGCTTTGATTTTATACTCCACAAGTAAGTGAAATCATGTGGTATTTGTCTTTCTCCACTTATTTAACTGAGCATAACACTCTCTTTAGATCCATCCATGTTGCTGCAAATGGTAGGATTTTTTCTTTTTATGGCTGAATAATATTCCTTTGTGTATATGTACCACATCTTCTTTATCCATTCATCTACTGATGGACACTTAGGTTGCTTCCATATCTTGGCTATTGCAAATAGTACAGCAATAAACACAGGGGTGCATTTATCTTTTCAAATCAGGGATCTTGTTTTCTTCAGATAAATACCTAGAAGTGGAATTACTGATTCAAATGGTATTTCTGTTTTTAGTTTTTCGAGGAACCTCCATACTGTTCTACAGTGGCTCTGACTTCTTTTTTATTACAGCTTTATTGAAGTATATTTGTCACACAATAAGCCACAATTATTATAATCTAAAACTTGATGATCTCTGGCATCTGTACATGTGCATTAAACAATCACCACAATCAAGATAAAAAACCCATCCTTTACTCCCAAGAGTCTCTCCTTCTTTGTAATCCATTTATATCTTCCTTAACTGCCAATGGACAATTGCTCCATCTTCTGTCATTACAGATTACTTTTTATTATCTAGAATTTTACATAAATTGTACCCAATAGTGCAACATCTATACTACATTATCTTTTTTTGTCAGAAAACTTATTTGAGATACATCCATGTTATTGCATTTATCAATATCTCATTCAATTTTATTCCTGAATAGTGTCCATATCACTGTTCATCCATTAACCTGTTGATAGACATTTCAATTGTTCCCAGTTTTTGAGTATTGTAAATAAATCTGTTGTGAACATTTGTGTACAAGTCTTTGAGGGGCATATGTTTCATTTCTCTTGGGCAAACACAAGAAGTAGATTGGCTACATCTTATAATAGGAGGATATTTAGCTTTTTAAGAAATTGCATAACTGTTTTACTACATGGTCATGCATTCTATATCCCTACTGGCAGTGCATAAGAATTCCAGTCATTTCACACCCCACAGACCTGTGTAATAGTCTATGTATTAATTTCCTATTGTAGTGTAACTAATTTCCACAAACTTAGTGGCTTAAAATAATATACATTTATTAGCTCACAGTCCTGTAGGTCAGAAGTCCAGGCCCAATATGACTGAATTCTCTTCTCAAATTCTCACAAAGCTAAAATTAAGACATGTTCCAGTTGCATTCTGGCCTGGAACTCAGGCTCCTCTTCTGTGCTTAAATAGTGTGGCAGAATTCAGTTTCTTGTTGTAGAAGTGAGGTCCCCATCTTCTTTCTGGCTGTCAGCCATGCGTTGCTCTTAACGGCTGCAAGCACCCTATATTCCTTGACATGTGCCAGTACTCTATCTTCAAAGCTAGAACTGCTGCATAGAATCCCTCTCTTGTTTCTGATCTCTCTGACTTCCCCACACTGACCTCTAGATCCCAATTTAAAGAGCTCATGTGATTAGGTCAGACCAATCCAAATAACCTCACTATCATGAGGTCAACTGACTTGGGAATTTAATTAAGTTCTTTTGCTACACACACACACACACAAAAAAAAAATTTCCATCATATTCACAAGTTCCACCCACACTGAAGGGAAGGAGTTATACAAAGACAAGAACCACTGGAAGTCATCATAGAATTCCCCTACCATAGTAATTTTAATTTTAATGTACTGGTATCTCATGGTGATTTTAGTTTGTACTCCCCTAATGACCAATGAGATTAAACATGTCTTCATTTTTTCATTTGCTATCTGATTATCACTTTTAGCAAAGTGTCTATTCAAAGCTTTACCCTTTTTTAAATTGAGTTATTTGTCTTATTATTGATTTTTAAAGTTCTTTATATATTACAGATACAAGTCTTTTTTAATATATATGTTTGCACACATTTTCTCCCAGTCTTTGGCTTGCTTTTTCATTTCAATAACTGTGTCTTTAAAGAGCAAAATGTTTTAATTCTGATAAACCCTAATTTATTAATGTTTGTCCTTTTAGAGTTTGTGTGGTTTTTATGTTGTATTTAAGATGTATCTGCTGAAACTAACATCATTAATTTCCTGCTTTTTCCTTATACAGTATTATAGTTTTAGGTCTATGATCTATCGTGAGTTAATTTTTGTATGTTAAGTAAGGAAAAGATCAAGTTTCATATTTCGCATATGGATATCTAATTGTTCTAACACCATTTATTGAAAAGATACTCCTTTCCCTATTGAATTGCCTTGGCAAATATTTTGAAAATCAGTTATCAAGTTATGGGTATGTCCATATCTGACTATTTTCTATGCCACTGATCCATGTGAATATCTTCATGCCAATACAGTATTGTCTTGATTTTGGATGGCTTTATAGTAAGTCTTATAATCAGGTTAGTTCTTTACTTTTCTCTTCTTTTCAAAAGTATTTTGGCTCTTCTAAATATTTTGCATTATCATGTAAATTTTAGATTCAGCATGTGAATTTCTGCAGAAGCACACTTGGATCTTGATTGAAGATGTATTAAACCTATGGATCAATTCAGGTAAAATTGATACCTAAGACAATTGAATCTTCAGAACAATGAATATGTTGTATATTTCTGTTTATTTTTACCTTTTGTTTTTCACTGTGAAATTTTGAGGTTTTGCATATACCTGTGTTTCAAATCTTGTCATTTTATCCCTATGTATTTTCTATTTTTGATGGCACTGTTTCTTTAATTTCAATTTCTGTTTGTGCATAGTAAATGGAAATACATTTATTTCTTAATTTCCAATATGGATACCTTGTATTTCATTTTCTTGCCTTATTTCACTGGCTAGGACCAGCAGTACACCAAAGAAGAGAAATGGTAAAAACATATATCATCAAGTAATTGCCAAACTTGGGGAGTAGGTTTTCACCACTGGGTATACTATTACTGTACATTTTTCCTTCATACCCTTTATCAGATCAAGTAAACACCCTTCTCTTTCTTGTGTACTGAAAGTTTTTTGGATTTAATCATAAATCAGTGTTAGATTCTATCTAGGGCTTTTTCTACAACCATTGTGATCATATCATTTTTCTTCCTTCAACTCTTAATATAGTGAATTGTATTGTGTTAGCTTGTTGATGTGATGAATTACATGTTAAACTAAACTTACATTTCTGAGATAACCTCTACTTGGTTATGATAGCTATACTATCCTTTTTATATAATTGTTGCAAATTATTCATTAAAATCTTAAGAAAATACATGTCTGTGTTAATAGGGGACATAGAAATCATTTATTTTAATTTTCTTTATTTCTAATATGAGCATTTAATGCTATAAAATTCCTTTAAACACTGAATAATTGCATCCCCCATGTGTAATATTCAAGTTAATTCAAGTCAAAGCACTTTCTAATTTCTTTTGACTCACAGGTTATTTAGGCATATGTTATTTCCCAAATTGCTGAAAAATTTCCAGATTTCTTCCTGTTACTGATGTCTAACTTCATTCCATTTTGGTCAGAAAATACACTTTTTAAAATTTTAATCATTAAAAAAAACCTTGGTAAATGTTGGTAAATGTTCTGTGTGCATGAAATAATTATGTGTAGTCTGCTGTTGGTGGCTTAGGGTTCTATAAATATCAACTCGGTCAAGTTGTTTGCTAATATTGTTTAAGTCTTCTACATTCTTTTTTTTGCCCTGTCTATTTGACCATTCAGTTATTGAGAAAAACATGCTAACATCTTTAGCTATAATTGCAGATTGGTCTATTTCTCCTTTCAGTACCATCAGTTTTGCTTTAGGAGTTTTGAAGCTATGTTATAGGTGCATAAATATGTACCTCTTAATGAATCAACCCCTTTATCACCATTTATTGCTTTTATCACTTCTTTATCTTTGACAGCATTATTCTGAAATTTACTTTGCCTTATATTAAAATAGGTACTTCAGCTTTGTTTTGGTTACTATCACTATGGTATCTCAATTTTGCTTTTAGCCTATTTATTTCTTTATAATTAAAATGGGTATTTTTCGGGAATTTAAAAAAAATCCAATCTATCCATCCCTATCTTTTAGTTGGGGTGTTTAAAACATATACCTTGGATGTGAATATTAATTTGCATGAGTATTAATCTACCATCATGCTATAGTTTCTATTTATTTTATTTATTCTTTGTTTTCTTTTTTTCTGCCTGTTTTAAAATAAATTGATTGTCTTTAACCATTTCATTTTATCTCCTTTATTAGCTGTTAATGCCATCCAATGCATTTTTCATCTCAGATATTGTATTTGCAACTCTGGAAGTTTAATTTGTATCTCTTTTTTTTCTCCTTAACACGCCTGTGAGAAATTTTCTCTATCTGTGTCAACATATGAAGTATATTTACATTTTTTTAAAATGTCCTTGTCTACTAATCCTACCATGTTGTCCATGTCTGTGTCTTTTTTAATGATTTTTATCCTCATTACAGATCTTTTTTTTTTTGCTTGATTTGTAATTTCTGAATAAAGATTCTGAATGTACTCTGTTAGAACTGAATTCTTTTTGATTCTTTAAAATATTTTTTGAGCTTTGTTTTGGGATATAGCTCAGGTACCTAGAAACAGATTGACCCTTCTGAATCTTGCTTTTAAGCTTTGATAAACAGGATGAGAGTAGTCTTTAATCTAGGTTTAATTTGACCCCACCTCTGAGATAGTATCCTTTTAAGTACTGAACTTAATACCTGTCCATTATAAGGGATTTCCACTCTAATTGTTGAGAACAAGGACAATTCCCACCTTGGTGTGACTCTTGAGATTCTTTTCCTGACATTGAGTAGTTTTTCTGTATCATGTGCCTCCTGATAACCAAACTGCATGCTCCACAGGAATTCCCTGCAGGTCTTTGGAGCTCAGTCTCTGTGCCATTCTCTTCTCTCTGGTAGCTTCCCTCTCTGGTAGCCTGTCCTGCTAGTTCTGGGCAGCTTGTACTGTCCCCATTATCAACTCTGTCTCTTCAGCTGAGGAATACTGCCAGGCTCAGTCTGGGTTCCTCTTCCCTGTGCTACAGCCAAGAAACTTACTCTAGGCAGTCAGCTAAGACTTGTCAAGCTCACCTCATTTGTTTTCCTTTTCTCAAGGAGTACTGTCCTGCATTACCTGTTGTCCAAGGTCTGAAAACCACTGTTTCATACATTTTGTTTAGTTTTTGAGTTATGTAAGTTGGGATTGTATATCAAGTCCTGTTTCTTCATCATGGCTAGAAGTAAGAGTCTATGTATTACTTTTTAATAAAAAATAGAAGTTAATAGTACAGAAAAATAGTTATTTGAAGTTTTCTAACCTAGAAATAATCACCATACACAACTACCCTTAATTTTTTATATACAAGCAGAAAATGACATATTCTATAACTTGCCTTTCAAATCAATAAAAACAGGTTTTTATTCGCAGTTTAATGATCACATGGCATTCCAGTGAATGGATACCTTTTGATTTTTGTAAACTTTTTAATTGAAATATAGTTTATATACAATATTATGTTATGATTTATTTAACTCATCCCCAATTGCTGGACAGTTAGGTTTTTCCAATTTACTGACATTATGAAATGTGCTCTGATAAACACCAGTAACTCAAGCCTATAGTCCATTGTCTTTGCCCTGACAATGAGATGACTTTAACCATCAATTTCTCTAGGTAACCATATTTGTCTGTGGTTTTACCTCATACATATTTTGCTAGAACCTTTAATGGGGAGAAAGGTGAGAAGAAAGTCAACTGATTCTGGCAAATGATGTTATGACCTGAGACTGATAAATCATGAAATTTTTGTATTCAGGTCAGAGTAAACTCTCTTTTGGGAAATTGAGGTTTGAAAAGTCTCACTTAGGAGAGAATATATAGCGGGAGACCTAGGTTGCCAGTTTTTTGGCTAAGAAACTAAAGATGCACAGTATCTTGGTGAGTTAGTTCAAACTGGTGCTAGAGGCAATCTGAAATGAATATAGAAATTTTAATCATGGATTGTGGCTAGAATAAGCACTTGGGGGAGAGTCAGACCCCAATTGAGTGGCAGGTAATTTAGCCTGTTGAAATAACTTGATATAATACATGTCCCTGAGTTTGAACCTAATATCTGTGTTTTGTAGAGTCTTAGCAGAGAGCCCTGGATTATGAGAAAATGAAAAATGAATAATACAGGTAGAAGTGCCATTGAGTCAGAGTTGAGATATGTTAATACACAGTGAGGTGAATTTGAAATAGACAAAGGTAAACTTAATGTATTTTACATTTGCAAAGCTTAAAAATACAAAAGAGCTTGAAAACTCCTGCAGCACAAAAAGAAAAGTAGCCTAATGTTTACACACCAATCGGGAGATTTATTTATTTATTTATTTATTTATTTATTTATTTATTTATTTATTTATTTCACTAAAAGATTATGCCTTGATGTCTGGACAGTGAAACAAGTTGCAGTCTATTTTTTTCCTTTTTTCAGAATTTCTTAGTTCCAAGAAATAATTAGCTAGTTTTCCTTTGGATACTTAAAACTCTACTGATAGATAAGGAGGGAAAGGAAAGTTTTTCACAAAGACAAGTAACATTCTAATGGAGATGACTGTGAGGGGCATACACAAGCCATTGAGGAATCCTGTTGAGAAACAGTCTAGAGAAAGAGAGGCTAAGGAAAGACTTAGGGAAGTCTGAATGAAGAAAAGCTGTAACAAATCATCAGACCAATAAGGCCAGATACTTTGGGGGTGAGTAGTTAAGATTTGGCATATTCAACATTTAGACTAGAGAAAATATAAAGCACTATGAAATTGGGAACAAATTTGTGTCCCATTTAATGATATTAGAACTATTTTTATATATTTTGTTTTTTGAAAAACTATCTTTCCATTTTTATGATTTTAAATCAAGATCTTTTTGATAACACAGAATGAGACATTCATTTACTCATTTATGCATTCAGTCAAACATTTTTGAGCATAAACTACAAACTGGATAATGAACTAACCTGGGAATACAATGAGAAGATAGAATAAAAAGAAAACAGTTTTTAAAAATTGCACAAAAAATTTTAATAACTACAAATGGGGTAAGTTAAAAAAATTAAGGTGCCATTTTATAACTTATTTTCTTTTTATTGTTTCCCTTGACTATTTCCAAAGAAAACAGGACTGCCATCATTTTCTCAGAACAAAATAACTAATTTTCTGCGTGAAATGCTCCTGAGTAAGGTAAGCAAAAAGGAATATTCTTTTCTCTGTGGGCTAAAATCATAAGATCAGGTTGCATACAGGGCAGCTGACAAATGCCGCATTTTATATCATCCTTTCAGACCTTGAAAATACATCCTGAGCCTCCATTAATCCTAATTAATTGTTTTCTGACTAAAGTAAGAGGCCTTACTTAATATTAAGTTTTGGTAATAGAAATGTTCAAATGCTACAGTTAACTGATTTTCTTATTACTCATCATTCACTTTCCATATTGACTGGGGTCAGGACAGTAACCTTGATATTCATAATGCAGCCACGGATTTCCTAAACACTCCAGCTACTAATACTGTCTCCATGTTTCTAAATATTTCTAAAAATTCTATAACCTTAGCTGTTGGTACACTTTCACTAGTCTAAAATACTTCACACACAGCTATGTATAAAGCATTTTGGGGGGAGATATGTTTACCTTTAAAATAGAGATAAAAAGGGAGAAAGGATGAGGATTGTGATCTAGCAAATCAATAAACAGAGAACATCTAAATAACAAGAACTGTGCTGTATGTGTTTAGCTGTAAACCCCGGTGCCTTCCTTTCAAGAATGCACAGTACAAGATCTAAATAAATTGTATGTCGCAAGGCAACATGTGCCACAGTATAATCCAGGTTCTCTAAAAGCCTAGAAGAAGGAAATCACAAGTTCTATTTGAACTGAGACTTTTTAAAAACTGAGTAAGAATACACCAATCGAAGAAGAGTAGGACATTAAAGTGATAGAGAACAAAAAGTGAAAAATGTAGAAATGTGACCGACTGCAGACCCAAGGAGCTCTGTGTGGTTAAGGCAGGGGTGGTCATGGAAAGGCTTTCCCTGCTTTTCTGTATATTCAGCCTTTCTCTGGCTTTTGAAAGGAATACAGTTGTCCGTACAGCCCTTTTTTATGTGCTTAATCTATCATTTACTGAAAGATACATGTTAAAAATCTCCCACTGTGATTGGGAATTTGTCTGTTTCTCCTTTACATCAGTAATTTTTGTCTTATATATTTTGTGGCTCTGTGCAAGTATTACATGTACATCCAGAACTAGGATTGTTATATCTTCTTGGTGAATTAAATCTTTATTATTATTAAATATCCCTCTTTATCTCTGCTAGTGATTTTTTCTTTAAAGTCAACTCTGATGTTAATGTTAAATCAGCTCTATTTTGGTCAGTGTTTGCATAGAGTATATTTTTCTATGTTTTTAACTTTCAGTGCCTTTTTATCCTAATATGTTGGATATGTCTTTTGTAAACAGCATATACTTGTGTTTTGTAACTTAGTCTTTGTATTTTAATTGGATCATTTAAGTCTTCACTTATATTAAATGTGAATATTGATATTTTTATTGAAATCTATCTTATTTCTATTTGCATCCTCAGTTATGTACTTTTTTCCTGTCTTCTTTGGATTTTTTTCTTATTCTGTTTTTACCCTCTAGGTATTTAGTCATTTTATATTCTTTAACTATCTTTTAGGGAGTTAAACTAGAGATAAAAACATCCTTGACATACAAAAATCTAATGTTATTTGTATTATAACATCTTTCTAGACAAATTGTTCATATTTCCCTAACTTATATGTTGTTATTGTTATGTATATGAACTATAATTTTTTTACTTAGTCACATATTTCACTGGTAGAATTCAAGGTACCCTGAAAATATTTTGCCTCGGTCTTTTGGCTTTCATTTTTTCTATTGAGGAGTCACCTCTCAGTTAAATAATTGTTCCTTTCAAGATGATATGATTTTTTCCCCCCCTAGCTGCTTTTTAAGAATTTTATTTTGCCTTTAGTTTTATTCTGACGTGTTTAGATGTGGTATTTTTGTATATCTTGCTTGGGGTCTGTAAGAACTCTTGACTATGTGGCTTGAGTTTTTGGGAAATTCTCAAATATTTGTTCTAACTCATTCTTTTTTTTTCTTTCCGGACTCCAGTGGTATTTCTATTAGGCTATCTTATTTGTATTTCAAATGTTTCTTGCCTCTTCTCTATTTTTGATCCTTTGTCTCTCTGTGCTTCATTTTGGATTTTTGTTAATACCTCTCTTCTGATTCACTTATTCTCTTTTCAGCTGTGTCTAAAATGCTGCCAAATGATTCACTGAGATCTCAGCTGTGATTATTGTATTTTTCAGCCTTGAATTTTCATTTCTCCTTTAACCCTTTGGGCTCTTCCATCCATCATAACTTGAAACTGCTGTACCTGAAGTCAGCAGTGACCACCCGACCGCCAAACCCAGCAGATTCCTGATAGCCTATTTTACTGACTTTCACATTGGAAATTCTTGAATCACCCCTACCAGTAGATGAGTGTAGTTTTCATTTTTATTTGTTTTCTTATCACTTAAGTTGAACCTCCTTCTATATGTTTAAGCACTATTTATATTTATTTTGCTGTAAACTTTTCTTGCCCATTTTTGTGAAAGCTATTTGTATAAGTGCTTAGTCCTTTGTTTTCTATAGGAAATGAAATATTTTTTCTAGTTTGACATGACTTTTTAACTATGCAGTTTTTTGTTTAATGTTGTAAAATTTGTTAATATTTTAGAATTTTGATTCATATATTAAAAGGCAATTATGGAATTTCTGACAGTGATTTGTGTTAAGGCAGGCTCAGAGGAGCCGCAGATATTTTTTGGTAGTCTCTTAAAGATTAAAACACCCTAAATTCCTTACCAGTCATCTAAGTTTATGAACCCCTGGGACTTCTGAAGTCATTCTCACTTAAAATCAGACAAATGGAGGGACTTCTGTTAAGACTTTGTTCCAACTTTATTCTCCAGTGGAACACAAGGGCTCTGTTAGAATGATCTCAGAACTCGGGAGAACATGTAGAGCAGCTCAAAACATGGTAATTGTCAGATACACTGCCACCCCACAGCTTGTCCTTCAAATGGTATCAATCTTACCTCAAAGGCAGTCAAGCTTCAGTTTGATATACAACCTTTGAAACTAAGTGCAATTGAGCTATTGTATATTATAAAGAACGAGCAACCTTAAGATATGGAACTATTTTTCCGAGCTACTGTATATTATAAAGAATGAGCAACCTAAAGATATGGAATCTATTTTTCCACAGAAGAAGGTCATGCAGTCTAGGGAGAAGACAATGGGAATCATAATTTGGAAATTTTTATGTCATATCCCTATGCTATCTTTTATTAGTTGTATGACTTTATCTAACTCTTTTAACTTTCTGGCCCTTTTAAAATATATCTGTAACATAAGAATAATCATTTGTGTCCAAGTGAGTGTGTGTAGGTGTTTTAAAACAACAAACAAACAAACAAACAAAAAGCCTTTAAAATCCTTTCCCTTCCTCCAATTTCACCATTCTGTTCACGTCTTTTTCATATTTGGCAAAATATTTTATGCTCTTTCCCCATAGTGTTTAGATATAGTATCTCATAAAGAAAACATGTTACAATTGAAAAGATAGTAATGATGGAGATGCATGATTATAGTATAAAATGGATGGGAGTGGTTGAATGCCTCAAATCGTAATGTATGAAGTTTGAGAGATAGGAGAATACAAAGAAACACTGGCTATTTCTACAGCATATTTAAATCTGGGGAATAGCTGAGTCATATAGTATTCACTTAACAAAAGAAAGTTCAGGACAAAGAAAAATTATTTGGGCTAAGAAGTGGGGCACTGGAAGGAAGAATAAATGATCGATCATGTGCCAAGTTTGGTGGAAGAAAGGAAATGACCGATCCAAATGCTGGTCACACCATAACAGAAACTTTAAGAAATTGCACTAATACAGGGAAGCTGGACATAAGAGCTGATAGAAACTGAGTAAATAGAGAAACAACTTCCTGGACACTGAAGAATTGCTAAAATGTTAAAATAGTCAATTTTGAGTTCATGAAATAAGAAATTAGCCAAACAGGAAAAACTTCAATAAAGGAAAGTTGATAGAAAATATAGAAGAAGCTAAAAGTATTTGTTATTATAACTACTACTTACCTTACTGAAATTTCATATTATAAAAATTAACTAAATGTGTTCTAAAATAAAAATGGTGAGTAGTCAAAATAATGAGAAAAATCAATTATAATATGAATTTAAATATTTTACAATGCTCTAGCCTATTTTATGGTTCATAAATTTCTTTTTAATAACAAAGAATTTTAAAGAAAAAAATAAGAAGATGCCTTTACAATGTTATAAATCTCTCTATTTGTGGACGGATAGAGTTTCTCTTAATGGTATGCTTAAACTTTTTAGTCTCCATAGATATTCCTTTAAAAATGTATCCCTAGAAGTCATTTCATTCCTTTTGAGCTGTGCTTTGAAATTCATTATGTGCAAATACTCACAATAATTGTAATGGAGGGGGGATATAGTAGTAGTAAGTAATTGTTTGATGTGCCATATTAATTTCCTTTAAATAGTATTCAGTATTAATAGAAATCTCAGATACTAGTATGATTGGATATATCAAGTAGAAATAGTAAAAAAATACGTCATAATGACTTAAAAATTACTTTCAATAGAAAAATCTTAAAATATTTGGTTTAGCAGAAAATATACTTAATTTGAGGCACTCAGTTCCAGATCAGACCCATCAGCTCCACAGGCCGATCTGCTTTCTGAACTGACAGTTCACACCTGATGTAACACTTACTCACTAAACACATTCATGAATATCTCTCAATCCCCCAAGTCCCCACTGGCAACTTCCCTTCTGGGAGGCCTGAGGAAAGTTTTATTGCTTTCTGGATTATGCCAGATATCATTATCACTGAATATTTCAAAACCTTCTCTTTCCGAGTTAGACCGTAATGCCAACTGTCTTCTACAATGATGTGCATTCTGATTATGCTTTCCTTTTTGGAGGCAATGTACTGTCCTTTCTACCTTTCTTTATCATTCTGTAAAAAGTGAGTCCCAGTATGATACAGGGCAATTCTCTCTCTGACATCGTAAAACATTATCCCCAGATGAAAATAGAATCATTGCCCACA